AGGGGGCTGGTGGAACGAGGCCCTCCCTGGCCTGCCACAGGGGTGTCAGTGGCTGGCGAGCGTGCTCCGGAGCGGGCCGGCCATCGGGATGTGCTCCCCGCGGCTCGGCCGGCTCGGCGCTTGTCTGTCACTCGGTGGGATTATGAGTAGTGAGTGTAATGCATCGGCGTATGAATAGGGTTGTCTGGCTGATGGTGATGTATCGTTTTTCATTACTGCCTCTCAAGCCCTCCCTGCTTCACGTGTGGAAATTCTATTTATTCCCTAATTTGTAAAAATTCCCTCCTTATCTGATACCAATCAGGGAGGGGTAATTGGCTCTCCAGGGCTAGCGGCTGGGGTCCTGATGAAGAGATATGTGTGTCTGCTCTGGCTGTCCAGGCACCCTGCCCTGCTGCACCAGCGACACGGGCCACAATTAATAATGATTTGCAAATGGCAGACAAGCAATAACGCAGAAAGATGTCCAGCCAGCCTCCTGCCCGCCCCTTAATTTCCTTCTGTAATATAAATGGCACAGGAACGAAAATCCAGCGCTATAAATTCTGAAATTAGTTATTCACCGTAATAAATGGTTCCCTTTTTGGTGCACTGTTCTCCCCATCCTTCTCCCCTGACCCCCCCACTTCCTCCTCCCCCTCCCAGCCCCTTTGCCTGCTACCTACTTCATTTGAGTCCTAATATGCAAATGCTGTAATTTAACGGGATGGTGAAGTTGATTTTCATGTTAACTTAATTACTTTGATTTATGAAGGGCTGGGATGTAGACACAGCTCCATCCTTGCCCACCTCCCACCCTCACCCCTCTGCAGTCCTGCTGACCCGCTGCCTCTCTTCCCTTTTCTTCCCTTGGCTCAGTGCTCTTTTCCTCTTCTTCCCAAGTTTAGTGTTTTATTAGCTGCCTTTAAGTGGACATAAGTCCTCGCGACAATCGCATGATGCGGAGGACAAATTCCCCGTCCTGCCTTGTTTAATCGTGCCTGGATAATGGATGTATAATTGACTCATTTGAATGCTTTTGCCTACAGGAGTGCAGAGCATTAAATGTTTGATTGCCTTAATTTCCAAACAGATCATTATCCCCTTCTTACCCGCTCTTAATAAACACTTTATGAGGATTTTTTTTGTAAAGGAAAAAAATCTCCACTCCTCGTACTTCTCTGAAGTGATAAACTCTAATTAAGTCTAATATTTAAAAATATGGTAATGGTGACTTGTTTGAATAAGTGGCCTGCATTTCCATAATTTCATTATTACGTAAAACACGCTAATTATTTGAAGTGTGCTTATTACTAAAAGAGAAATCTCCTTCTAATAAAGATGAAATTGGCTTTTTTCCCTGTATTGCTGTGCACGCCGCTCCCCTTCTCTCCTGGACGGTGAGTGGCCACAGCCAGGAGCAGGGTGATGGCAGCATTCGCTTTGTTTGCTCAGGGAAGGCTGCCAGCCAGGGATGCTGGATGTGCAGGAACAGGCACAGAGGCTGAAGGACAAGCTGAGGTCTCCCTACACCCTGGGTCGCCCTTTGCCCCAGCATCACTGGTGCCCTTTGGGCTCATGGGCTCCAGGAATTGTTGGGAATGAAGCTCAGCCCCTGCTGCCCATTTCCTCCAGCAGGGATGCCCCAGCTGTCATGGTTTGCCCACATGGCATCGCCTGTGCCAGGCTGTCCAGCAGCCTGTGGGGCTGAAAGGGGTCTCAGCAGCTGGGTGTCTCGCAGTGCAGAGGCCCCAGCCACCCAGCTCTGCCCTGGGAGGGGGCCAGCATGGTGGGTGCATGATGGGAAGAGTGGTTCCCAGTGCAGAGGATGAGAGGAAGCATCCTGTCTCCTGCAGTGTGACAGTGACCAGCCTGGGTGGCAGAAAGAAAGTGCCCAAGGCAGCAGGTAGATGGTCAAGACTGGTCCCCTTCTGCTGCTCTTCCTACTGACCTGGCAACTTCCAGAGATGGGCCCTCCCTGCTCCAGTGTCCCTGCTGGGGTAAACTGGATCTGGAGGTCTTGCTGACCCCAGTGTGCAGAGAGTGGGACAGGCATTGTGTCCCTCAGGGACAGACACAGGTTGAGGGAGGATGAGTGTGAATTGTGTCCAGCCCCTCTTCAGAGCCTGTGCGGGCGCTCTGTGGCGGGGCAGGCAGGGAGGCACTGGGATGAAGTCAATATAAAACTAATTTCCTTTTCTTCATGAAGAAATGAGGTGTGTGGCAGTAACGTAATTGCAGATAATGAGGTAAGTTATTCTTAATATTCTGCACGTCGCTGTCAGCTCCACCTAATATACCTGCCGGCTGTGCGGGACACACGCAGCCCCTTGCCCCATGCGCAGCATTATGAGGCCATTAATTTGGGAGCAGCTCGGCAGGACCATCCCTGGCATCCCTGTGGATCCCTGGGAGCTGGGAGCACTTGGTTCTGACACGTCCTTGTCACCACTATGGCAGGCATCCTGGTGTCCCCACCTTGCCCAGCATGTCTTGGTGGGGATGGATTCAGATCAGACACAAACTGCCTCCAGCTCCAGTGTGGACACGGTGAGTGACACAAGAGCCTGGCTCTGTGTGCTGGGAAAATGCTGTCACTCCCTGCCCTGACAGTGACATTCCTGCTCACAGGGAGCAGCACAGCCCACTGTGGGGACACAGCACCCAGTGCTGCCATTCGTGATTGCTGGGGACGCCAGCAGCAGTGCCAGAGTTCGTGACATCTCTGAGGTCCATACAGCTGCCGCCACTCACAGGGCACCTGCTGTCACCCAGGGGTGGCAGTGGGGACGCTCCGGGCGGCGGCGGCCGGGCGGGCCTGTTTCCGCTTTGCAGGGAGCTGTTATACAAAGGCAGTGGTGATATTATTCATTAACAGTAATCTGCCATTAGAACATTGACAAATGGCCCCTCGGCGCCTGAGCATCAGTTCTGGTACAGCCCATAAAGCATGGGGACAGTTTAAATATGGACCTGCTCAGCTCGGGCCGGGGGTGATCCGTCTTCCCGGCCATAGCACAGGTGCACTGGGGTTGCCTCCAAATGAGCACGTCTGGGGGGGCCCTGCAGTCCCTGACCACCCACAGCCCACCAGGGCAGCTGCTGGGATGGAAAAGCTCCCTCCTTGCTCCGGAAGCGTCTCGGCCCAGTGCACGGCAGCTGCAGCAGAGCTCAGCCCCCTGAGCCCCCGTGGTGGAGATCTCTGTGTGGTTTGATCCTGTGGGGACATGGGAGGGGTGGGAGAAAGCTGGCAGGGCAGCACACATAGCCCCTACCCTTCTCCCCAGTGCTTGGGCTGGGTGTGGAGGTGATGCTCTCCTGGAGTGAGCATTGCTGCTCCTGGCAGCCCGATCCAGCAGCACAGACTCCTGCTGATGGAATCCTTGAGTCATGCTGGGTTCACAGCAGTGCTGCCGTGCAGTGGCTGGTGGGCGGGCACATGCCAGGCAGTCAGCCCAGTGCCATGGGCTGGGAGCTTTCTGCCTCCATCTCAGCACAGGAGTGCAATGGGAATGTCTGTGCTCCTCCAATGACAAGGCAGCCAGTGATGCTGAATGGCTACAAACTCCAGCCTAAACTTAGGAGAGCATTCTGCTGCCCCATGCATGTGCATGTGTCACTGTCCTTGGCTGTCACTGCAGCGAGAGCTTGGCAGGACATGGAGAGGCCTGAAATGAGGGTGTCAGGCCAGTGTGGTGTCACAGTGGATAATGCTGAAACACAGAGGCAGGAGGGCTAAAACCTGGAGGGCTAAGCCAGCCAGGGTGAGTGGAGGCTGGGGTGTCACATTACCCCACACTGCACTGGCAGCTGGACCAAAGGAGAGTCCCAGAGGTATTCAGCCCCAGAACCCAGCACCTCAGGGCAAGCTCAACCCCAGCCGTCCTGGGCCACTGCACGGGGACATGGGGTGATGCTCGGAAGCAGCACAGCAAGGTGAGGGGCAGGGAGGCAGGGCAGGGCCACTGCTCTGCTTGCATGATAACCCCAGGCTCACCCCTTCCACACACACCGCACAACACCCCTAAATCAATTGCATCTTATTATTACAATATCAATATACAATATTCCTACAATAACACCATTGATTTTCTACTCAGAGGCTGCACCTAAGTCTGTTTTAAAGAGGAGGGAGTTAATAGTGCCCTCATTAAAAATCTATAGATTACCCCCCACCCCAAAAAAAAGAAAAAGCAGTTTATATTCATTAGGGCTATTGAATATAAAGTAATATGTTTGTGTAGGACATTGGAGTAATGTGATAATCCGTCCGCATATCAGGGAGAAATCCACTTAGCAACCCTGTCAGCTTGACAAGAAAAATGTGCCCATAAAGTCGGGAATACATTGAGGGAGTGAGCGGGAGGAGAGCGGGGGCACGCGTGCATGTGTGCGCCTGTGCAGAGCCGTGCAGGCCATCAGCGTGGGACCACCTTCACCCCGTCACCTGGGACACAGCTGGGCACCCCTCAGCCCCTGGAGTGTCTGGGGCAGGGACATTCCAAGTGTGCCAGGATGGGCATCAAGCTGGGGGGGCTCCGCAACCTGCCAGCCTCCCTGGCCCTGATAGGGGCACCAGACGGGACAGGTTGGTGGGTGCCAGCCTGGGTGCCAGGGCAGCACTGCCACAGCTGCGTGCCCCCAGGGAGAGCTGGGCTGGGTGAGGGCTGCAGCATGGGCAGGGCTGCCTGTGCCCTCCTGCCAGCCTCGGACTCTGCTTGTCCCCTGCCCCGTGGTCACCTCTGCGATGGATTAAGCACTGAAAAGCAGCAGAGCAATCCCGGTCGCGCTCTCTTAGGCTGTCAATTGCCATTTTTGTAATAGAAATTCCTTTCACAAGGTAACGACGGCCAGATTTAGAGGATTTCATATTGTTAATAATTCCCCAAACAGCCATCTGACTGTGTTGTTTTAAAAGCCGCTTAGTTTTTTGCTTTGGAGTTTATGAAAATCTCCCACTCTAATATCCCGAGAGCCAGCCTATAATTGTGTTATTAAATCAATCGGAGCGGATTACATTGTAAAATCAATAGATGGCTGTAATTGCATATTAGAAAGTTGTTCTGCTGTTGTTGATTTTTTTTTACATGGATAATTATAATAAGCGTGTTTACCTTAGCGCTGATTTGGAATGAGTCTCACTAAATGATGTATGATGAGCTTGGCACACTCGCTGCCAGGGGCCGTGGCATCCTTTGGGACAGCAAGGACAGCACTGGCGGCATGGGCATGTGGGTGGCATTGACCCAAGAGGGTCCCACCAGTTTTGCAGGGTGGCAGCTCAGAGTTCAGGGTGTCTCCCAGCGCTGGCACCTGGCAACAGAGCACACTGGGGTTTTCGGGAGACAAATGATGGGGTGCAGGCAGCAGACAGCAGTCACAGACAGCAGTCACTGACAGCGGTCACAGACGGTGTCCCCGGGGGCCAGCTTGGGAGTCCCAGGAAGTGCCATGGGGTCTCGCTGCCTGTCTGGCAGCTGCCCAGGTCTCTGTGCAGTTCCCCCTCAGCAGTATGGAGCAATAGTCAAGCCCCAGTGCCCACTCCAGCTCGGGGCAAGGCTGCAGGCTGTGAGGTTGGCAGTGGGACACCTGGGGCTGCGCTTTCACATCCAAACTGCTCACTTGCCACCCACCTGCCAGAGCTCCAGGATTGGCTTTGCTGTTACTTTTTGGGGGTGCCAGGCCAGGGCTGGCTGGGTGGGGGTACTTTGATCACAGACAGTTGCACTCTTCTTACCTCTGTTTCCCCAGCTTTCAAGCCACTGTTACCCTGTTAGATCCCACTGGCAGCTGGCTCCAAGGGCTGAGGCTTTTCCAAGGGGCTCAGTTGTCTGGGGGACAGCTGAGATGGAGCAGGTGATCCTAAGGACAGTGAGGGGATCGCTGAGTGGGAACAAGTGACAGCAGCAGGAGCTGGCATTGTGGCTTGGCTGGGCAGGACACCTGTCACCTCCAGGGGCCTTATGCAGCCATCAGTGTCACTTTGGGCAGCAGAGAGGACAAAGGCACAGAGAGATGGGCTCACCTCTGCCCTCATGCCAGCCAGTGGGCTGGGGACTCCCCTCCTTTGCTGGCCTCTCCTCATGCCCAGCTGCTGTCCCCTGTTAGGCACACAAGTGACAGGAAGGGATGCCACGAGAGGGTCTCGGGAGACACTCCAGAGACACGTGGCACTGATGGGGACATTACCTCTTCCACTGCCAGCCTCAGCCAGGAGGGTCCCTGGCAGCTCCTGGCAGCCCCTTGGGGAGCTGCGCACAGGGAAAGTCCTGAGCCTCACACAGATGCTGGGGGACAGGCGATGGCTTTGCCAGGGGTCACTGGGCACAGCGGGGCTGGGCAGTGCTGCTGGTGTGGCAGGCAGCATCCAGGAGGCCGGGCAGCCCCGTCCCTGCAGGCAGATGCCTGGCAGCAGGACAGCGCTGCCCGGCTGCGGGGGGCCCTCAATCCGGCACGCGGCACTGTCAGCAGGCAGCCTGCTGTCTCCTAGACAGTGAAATATGGCCACAATTAGCCCGGATACAGTTCAATTATGATAAACAGCGTTTGCACCCTTTAAGCTGTGATTAAAAGGCCTCCTCCCGTTGATAGAGAGACCTAATTTCACATTATTATCGCTGTAGCTTGATTATAAAGCACTCCCTGGATTTACAGTTGGGAGATGGATGTGGAGGCTTCTTTATCATTTACACATCAGTAATGATGCAGCCTTCCCTCCACCACAACATCCATCCAGCAGCGGCGGGGAGAGGGGGGCCTTGCCTGTACCCCCCTCCCGGGGCACCCTCTCCCCGTGTCAGCCAGGCCCCGCTGCCACACGCAAGTGGGCAAAGTCACCCTTACGGTAACAGCTTGATAAATGGGCGGGCGGTAATGAAATGGAGACATCAAGGCGTGGGGCGAGGAAGAAAGAGTGGTAATCGGAACGAGTGGAGCTGTCCCGAAACGGAGGGGAGCGGGAAGAAGGATCGCCTCTGCGCCGTGTGCTGTCAAGGGAGAAATTACACATTTACTCTTGCTTTTTCTTAAGGAGACGGCCCTCATAGATCAAAACATGGATTTACAAGCCAATTTTCAACATGAAATATAGACACTAGGAATCAATTTAAGCCCGGCTTCTATTTTAGCAAACGGTGCCTGAGTTTAGTCCCAGGTAAATAACACCAGAGCCTTCCCCTTTCCCATCTTGCTGCTCTGCCACGGCCCAGCACCAGGAGTGGCTGTGGCTTGCCATCCCAGCCACCTGCCACTTGTCAAACTCCAGTCGGTGAGCATAGGGAGGCACCACGGGCTGGCTCTCATGGGGACATAGATGACCCTGACCTTCAGGTTCAGGGCATGGATCCATCTCAGCGCAGCACTGGGTCGTGCTGGGATGCAGGTGACCAGTGCTGGGACTGGGAACTCTGCAATCACACCACATCACTGCAAGGTCCTTGGGACAGAGTACCTGGACTGGTGAGAGCACAGGCATGGCATGGGATTCAGAACTTGCTCCAGCAATTCTTGTTTGGATCATGCTCTAACCCAGTATCTCTGTGCTTTCTCCTTAGACGACTGCAAGAACATTGCCAACATCATGAAGACACTGGCCCATAGAGGCTTCATCTTCAAGCAGACCTCCAAACCTTTTTGATCCCCGAGGCAAGCCAGGCAAGGGCTGCATGCGCCCGGTGCCGGCGAGGCGGGGAGGACGGGCTCCAGCATTAAAAAAAAACCCGGCAACCGAGGCCAGAGGAACCGACACAAAAAAAATCTCAATTTCAGCTGTTAACTCCAGTAGAGGTTGTATATATGGGAAGGCAAATCTGTGTAGACCTGATGTGACTCCCTCTCTGGGCTGCTCCGGACATTATGCCATGCTAGCGGACAGCCGCGTAGGGCGCTTGCACCACATTTTAGACTTGTAGTTCGTTCTTTTTCTTTGGCTCCTGATTTCCGTCCCTCCCTCCATATCCCACCCCGTCCTCCCTCTCCCACCCCGTAGCCAGAGCATCCCCCATCTCCACCCTGGCATGGGCCATACCCACCTTCCCTTCTTCTTTCTCTTCTCTGGTTTTATGTTTTCAGGCCTCGACGGCTGCTGCAGCGATGCCGGCGTGTGCCTGCACTCGGGCAGCACTCACGGAGGCTCAGTGTGTCGAGACGGCCCCTCGCCCTCCCCGCCAGCTCCCCCCGCCTCTCCCCTGAGCGCCTTTTCCCCTTTTTGAGTCGACACTAACCCCTCTCTGACTCCTGTATGTGACAAACGCGATCCGTCTCTTTATGTTCAAGGTGAAGTGCCTGTATTCTCCGCTGCAGAGCCCCTGGCAGCCCCGCCGTGGGCTGCAGGGTCCCGGAGGGCTCCCTTCAGTGAGGCAGGGGCCCAGCGGACAGGCGGGCGGCAGGAGGGAGGTGACAGTGTCCGCATGGAGCCCCGTCCCGTCCCCGTTCCGTCTGCTCGTGCCTCTTGCGGGGCTGGGCGGGATGCCCGGCCCTGCCTCGTCCCTGCCGATCAATTCCAGCTCCATGGGGGACAGGCCCGCCACAGCACCGTGTCCGTGTCCGGTGGTGGACGTGCCAGCGCGCGCTGGCCCCCGGCCCACAGGTACCTGAGCAGGGGAGCTGCAAATTGCCCCAGGCCCCTGAGCGTGCTCCCCACCAAGCTCCCTCGGTTCCGAGCTGAGGCTCAGCCCCCACGTGCTGTGCCCCTCACAGGTCCCCGCGGACGCTCAGCAGCAGCTGGCTTGTTGCCTGAGAGAGTTGCCGAGCACATCCCCTCCGGCTGGGTGCGCTCCCGGCTGGCCAGGGCGGTTGGGGGGAGCCGTGGGGCGGGCTGAGGGCGCACGTCCTCTCGGTGTCACCCGGCCCCGGGGCCCTGCTGAACGGAGCCCTCGTCCGGGCACTGACCTGCAGGGAGGCTGCAGCCCCAGGCCCGTGCATGCATGGCCTGGAGCGAAGCCGGTGACGGCAGCCAGAAGGGCAATACAGGCACTGAACTTGGCGGTACATGACTGCATGGTGTGTGGTGTTCCAGTTAAACCAACCGATAATGCAACCCCAGCATTTTCATTGTCTAGTTATTCCAATCCTTGCTGTAAATGTGCCACATGAATAAAGTTTGGGGGTAAAGGAGCCCGGGCTGTGCCCATGCATGTGCAAGTTTGTATGGGGGCAGAGGGAGGGGAGTGCCACCTGGATAGGTGGGAACAGGGTGCTCCCTGAGGGATGGCACAGCCACGCTCCCCATAAAAGGGTTTGGCTGTGAAAGGGCAGTCAAGGTTCCCTGCTGCTGGGAGCACTGCCCCACCCTCCAGCATGGGCACTGTGTGGGCACCTGCCCCAAGGCAGCTCTGCCCTGAGGATCCCACCAGCCCATCACAGCTGGGCCTTATCCAGGGGTGCACCCCACGCAGTTTTCTGCCCAGTGCAGGGTGACAGCCACCACTACATCCCACTGGCACCTGTCACCCTAACCTGTAGTCTGGCACACTGTACCCACACAGCTGCCACTGCGTTTGGAGCATCTTGGCTACAGAATGGAGCCAGCGTGGCTCTGCTGGGCCCTGGGGCACCTGCTCTGCCCCACGAGTGTAATGCTGTGGGGTGCAGGAACCACCACTGCATCCAGGTGCCCAAGGGACCTGCCCTGTGCCAGAGTGCCACCGGGTGACAGGGGTGCAAGCATCCAGCTAGCACTGAGGGCAGCTCCCAGAGGGCAGGGGCAGTCCAGCCCATTTGCTCTATGAAAAGGTCACAGGGGTTTTACCAGTTCCATCTGTGCAGCCCCTGATCAGCTTTATTGACCCTTTTTCGATGGGAGTCGTCTAATTAGTTTTTTATGAAAACTAAGAACTTGGCCTTTGCCCTCTACTCCTGCAGGCGAGAATGTGACTCAGAGGACATTGTCACGGTGGATCGATGATGGCAAGTTACACTTGGAAGGCAAGTGTAGGGGACACAGGGTGGGCAGATGGGCATCAGCCAGAGCAGGGCACACAGCCAGGGCCACCAGTGCCCACAGTGGCAGCACATAAACCCAGACTCCCACTGCGATGCCTCAGCCCCTCCAAGGCCCTGAAAAACAACTGCAGGAACCAGACAGAAGCCTTGGGTGGGGCAGCAAGAGGTGGAACTCTTCTGACAATGAGCTGGGGACAACACAAGTGTTTCAAGCAGGGGCAGCCCCTTACACAGGCAGGGCAGCACTTGCAGGTGTCAGGCACGAAGAGTTACTGGAGGAGAGCAGGTACACAAGGGCTGGGCACCAGGGAGCTCTCCAGCCTGCTGTGGGCAGCACAGGAGCAGCCTGGCTCAGGACATGGCAGCCTCAAAGGCAGCAGGGGCTGCAGCAACTCCAGCTGTCACCTGGTGACTGAGGCAGGTGGGCTCGAGTGTTTCAAGCAGGGGCAGCCCCTTGCACAGGCAGGGCAGCACTTGCAGGTGCTGGCACGAAGAGTTACTGGAGGAGAGCAGCTACACAAGGGCTGGGCACCAGGGAGCTCTCCAGCCTGCTGTGGGCAGCACAGGAGCAGCCTGGCTCAGGACATGGCAGCCTCAAAGGCAGCAGGGGCTGCAGCAACTCCAGCTGTCACCTGGTGACTGAGGCAGGTGGGCTCAGGGACAGCCAGCAGTTGCCAGCAGGGTCAGTGGCAGCCAGCCTGCCTGGGACGGGGGTGAGACAGCTCCATGCACCAGAGCTGGTGGCCACAGGGCAGCCATGGGTGGCCTGGGGCAGAGCTTTGCACGTCCCTGGGGCAGCTCTCCAGCACCTGCTGCAAGTGCCTGGAGGTTGCACTGCTCCAGAGGTCAGATGGGGTCAGGGCCATGGCACTGGGCAGGTGACAGCTCCCACTTTTCTCTGGAGCACTGCAGTGTTTGCCCCAGCAAGGCCCCTGTCCTGTCCCATGGCTGGAAGCAGCCAGCTGTCTCCAGGGGCTCCAGGACAGCCAGCACTGCCCCTGCACCTCCTCATCCTCACCCAGCACAGAGTGCTCATGGCTTCTTCACCCTCTTGATGGAGAAGGAGCTGAAGGCCAACTCCCTTCACTTCCTCTGCTCCAAAATGTGGACAGGAAAGAAAGGGAAAAAAAAAAAAAAAAAAAAAAAAAAACAAAAAAACCAGAAACAGAAGGGGGGGAACCTGGGTAGACAGGAAAGAAAAAAAACCAGGAACAGCAGGTGGGAGCACTTGGGTTATGGCAAACACATCCACCTGTCTCAGAGCCAGCCCCAGGGCTTCAGCATCACTCCAGGCAGTGCCAAATGGACTGCCTGGCTGAAGGCAGAGCCAGGTCTTTGCATGACAGGAGGGACAGAGCTAATCCAGCAGTGACAAGGGAGTGGGATGGCACCCTCACAGGGGATGTTACCTCCCTGACATAAACAGGGCTTGAGGATGGTCAGGAGGAAGGGGCTGAGCTCTGCAAGAACTCGGTGGCCCAGGAGCCCTGACCAAGCAAGCCAGCATGCACCAAGCCCTAAGGAGCAGGACACTGCATCTGAGTGAGACTGTGCCAGGTGCCCCATGGACCCTCTGGCCACAGCCATGGCAGGGTCAGCCCCCGGAGCTCTGTGGGTGGGGTGCCCCAGGCACGGCACAGCTGCCGGGTACCCGTGTGCTGGCTGCTGCAGGGACACGAGGGGCCGGAGCCCCGGGGCCCCACGGCACAAGGCACGGCAGGCAGTGGCACAGGGACTGCAGTCCGTGCCTGCCGTGCCCAGCCCCGCAGCCCTCCCTGCTCCCGAGGGCTGCAGAGGCTCTGCCCCAGCCCAAAGCGGCAGCAGGGCCCGGAGGGAGCCGGGCCTGCCCGTCCCTGCTCCGTGTGCTCCCGGCGTCGTGGGAGGCCGCGCTGCCTCCCCTGGCGGGAAGCGGCCCCCAGTTCCCGCCGGGCAGACGGCAAACAGAGCATGGAATTTGCACGGCTGAAAGTTAAATACAACACACACACGGATTTCGTCAGAGGCCCTGGCACCGCTGCCTTCGTGGGATCCGATTAACGGGGAAATAAAAGGGCCAGAGAACCCACACAGCAGAGTGAGCAGATGCCCTATAAAAATCAAATACAGGGTAATCAAGGGGACCGAAAGGTACATTTAAAAAAACAAAAACCCACCCTGGAAACAAAGGAGCTGGGCTTTGTGGCTTTCCTGGGAGGGCTGCAGAATTAATGGGGAAGAGCACATGTGTTTGATAATCTTTATATGGCAAAAGACCCATCTTTCAAATATGTCACAAATTCATATTAATCACCTTCCTATTGCCTTCCGTGGCACAGCTATTCCAGTTGCCTCGGGCAAAATTGGGAACTGTCTGGTTAAAAAAAATGTTTTACATTATAATTTACAAGAGCTTACAAGTCTAGTTTCTTTTAATGGAAAGAACGATTAAAAAAAAGAGAAGAATATATATACACCCTGGTATATATACACTATATATATTAAAATATATATATATAAAAGACAGATATTGTAACTCCATCTGGAAAGAGAGAATGTTTGATCTTAACAATGTAACTTCTAGCTTTCAAACAGGCTCAGAAAACAAGAAGTCAGCAGGAGTTCA